TTTACTCTAATATGGACTTTTAAAACTATTCAACTAAATTTAATTTGGTTATCAAAAAAGATTTTTAAATGTCTTAGTAATGAAGAAATAATAATAGTTCATTTTGAATAAATACATAATAATGTACGTTGCTCAAACTAAAAAATGGACCACCATTAATAACTTTTGATCCTATTGATCGGATCTTCACGTTGTAGGACTCAATCTTAATGGCTCCAGGGGGTAACCTCAAATATGCTAATTAATAAGAACAAACAATATTTTAAGTTACGAAATCAGACACAAAAACGTACTTTCTTTGAATAAATATATTTTTTCTAGAAAATATGGTTCCCATAGTTTGGTCAGGAGAGGGCTCCAAAGTTTGGACCCCTTAATGTTAATTTTACTTTTTACGTATTTCGTCATATCTCGAGAACTTTTTAAGCAAGTTGAAAATATTTTGCTCGCACAATTGTAAAATTCGTTTATCCAAAGAAAATTCCAGGCAAAAAATTATTTTTAGTGATTATTTATTATTTTTTTTAATTATGGTTGAAAAAAGTTTGTATTGCAAGATATGTAATTTTTTACATCATTTTAACGTGGTTAACTTTACATGGCAAATTACTGAATTTGAACAAATCGGTTGAATAGTTCTTGAGAAATCAAATTTTAAATATCCAACTCTTTTAAAATTCAATTTCTCATTAATTTCGACCGATTTTGCTCAAATTTTGTATTTTACAATATTCTTTAAAATTGCATACTTTAGAATTCAAAATTTGTCCATTATGAAATAAAATTATAAAAAATAATAAAATATTGCTAAAAGTTATTTTCTGCATTGAATTATCAAATTTTATAACTGAATTACAGTTATAAAATTTGTTTGGATAAACAAATTTTATAACTGTGTGTAAATATTTTTCAATTCGCTTAAAACGTTTTCGAGATATGATGACATACGCAAAAAGTAAAATTAACAAAATTCAAAAGTTTCAAAAGGAGTTCAAAATTTGGAGCGCTCTTCTGATCTAACTACGGATGTCAATATTTTCCTGATTGCAGTTACCCCTTATATTTTGGGAGTCAGAAGTCCGAATCCGACGAAAAAAAGGTATGTTTATTCAGAGAAAGTACGTTTTCCTGTCTGATTTCGCAATTTAAAATATCGTGTGCACTTATTAATTAGTATATTTGAGGTCACCCCCTAGTCCCATATAGATTGAGTCCTAGAACGTGAAGATCCAATCAAAAGTTATTCAGGGTGTTCCGTTTTTTTCTTCTTCTTTTGCGCCCAGTAGAGTGCATTAAAATGCGTATGAAGGCCAAATTGTGCTTTTATCTTATTTTTGGAAATATGTTTTAGCTTTGCGTTGTATTATTTTTCATGAAAAGAGTAAGAACGATATTATTATTATTACATATTTTTGTTCATTTATTTTTTCATTTTGAAATTTCATGGCTGTGTTCTCTTAATAAATACGAGATTCAATTTTAAAAATTAATTTTAAAATCAAAATGCGCCAAATCTTATAACTCATTTCTATAACTATTTACATTTTCAAGGGGAAAAATAAAGCTAAAAAAAAAAAAAAATATTCAATAAATTTATTTAAAATTTTTGCAAAAAAAAGAGTGTATAATCTGAATATCGTTTGATCTAATGATTTGATATTCACGTACTAGATTTCAATCTTAATTTTTGAAAGACCTAGCTTTAAATATACTAATTAATTAGTGTGGATTATCAGAAATCAGACTCAAAAGCCTACTTTCTTTTAATAAAAAAAATGTTTTTCGGCAGATTTTGTTTCTTGATCCTAAAAATATGGGCGGTAGCCACGATTTGGAAAATATAGTTCCGATAGTTTATGCCGGAGAGCGGTTGGAAATTTGAGCACTTTAATGTTTATTTTCCTTTCGCCGAAGAAGCCAAATCAAATAATTTTTGCAATCAGTTATAAAATTTTTTCATATAAATATTGTACTTAAACAATTGTTTTTAATTATTTAATTTATCAATGGTTAAAAAAATTTTAATTGTAAGGTGTACTTGACACAAATTTAATCTACTTAACTTTATATGATTAAATCCAAAATTTTTAAGGGAGTCGGTCGAATAACTTGTAAGAAAAAATTAAAAAATACAATTTGTTTTAAAAGTTTTAGTTTTCTGAAACTATTTGACTGATTTAAATAAATTTTCTTATTTTGTCATTTATAATTATATACATTCAATTTATTTGAACATTTTAATGACTTTTAATTTTAAACTTTTCGACCATTCATAAAATATCAGGGGTGTCAAACTCGCGGCCCGAGATGAACATTTTTGTAGCTCAGTCAATATATCCAAAGCAAAGTAAAAATGAAATAGAAATGTGAATTAAAACCAAACCAGCATATAAAATTATAATATACTTTATTTATAAACTATACGGATCGTTTAAAATTGTCCGCTCGAAAATGTAAAATTCTAATTGGCTGAAATGGAGTCCGTTTTACACTAATAAATTAGATAATACATAATCAGGTTCATCCTATTATAGCGAGGTAAGTTGGTTATCTTGCTCCAAGGTTCTCAATCAATTCTGGGATTTGAAAGAAAAAATATGTAAAAACTTACACATTTTATTATTACATATTTTTTTAACTATAAATCAAGATACAAGCTTGTTCTCCAATCAAATACGGTTGCAAGATTTATCTTTTATGGTTGATGTAACCAAACACTTATCCGATTTAAATTTATTGTTACAAGCCAAGGATCAGATCATTATGAACATGTTTGACATAATTAAAAAAGCATTCAAATGTAAACTATTTCTTTGGGAAAGGCAACTGAAAAATGAAGATTTAACGCACTACCCAGCTTGCAACAAGAACAAATCTAGGTTTAAAGATTAGGTTAAAGAAACAAGGTTTAAAGATTTTAATTCTTTGGATGACAAATTTTGTTTGTTTTCTTCGATTTTCTCAATAAATATAGACTCAGTACCCAATTATATGCAAATGGAAGTGATTGAGATTCAGTGCGACTCAAATTTGAAGGCAAAATTCATCATGATTTTTCATNGCCAATAAAATTTCTCCCGAAATAGAAAAGATAACAGCAGAGAAGAGATGTCAAGTATCAGGACGTAAACAATAATTTAACTTCATATATGTTTATTACAATTCAAAATAAAATTATTTGCTTCCATGAACATTGATATTTTTTTTAGCGGACCACCTAAAGTTAAGCATTGCTTATTTGGCCCAAGTTAGCTTTTGAGTCTGACTCCCCTATTATAAAATATTAAATAATTCCAAAAAATTTTTTTATATGGGACTATCTTCGGAGTAACGAATTTTATAATTATGTGCAAAAATGTTTCTATTCGTTTAAATATCTTTCCGAGATATAGCGAAACACTAAAAAAGTAAAATTAACATTAAGGAGCTCACCTCACTAAACTCACTCGTTTCACCTTTCAATAGCTCACATGACTAAAATATTGGGACTATATTTTCTGAACTTTAGTTACTTCACTCTATTCGAAGATTCAGAATGTTTTTAGGAATTTTCTGTCCAATAAAGATATGTTTATTAAATGGAAAAAGGTTCTTGTATCAGATTTCATGACTTAATATATAGCCTGCGCTATTTAGTTGATAGAAAATCGCTTCAAAAATATACAATTTAGATGTTTCAAGCGCTCATAAACAGGGACCCATTTTCAGGACTTCCGAGACGAGAAGAAACAAAACAATAAAGTTTTTAATCAAGTAATATCTTACCGCTTCAAATTCTTGGGATTATTTCCTTAATCGTCTGCACTAGTTAATTCGCATAATTAAGAATAGGCTCTCCAACCATTAAGATTGAGTATGTGAAAATCCTATATTTAGATCATATGCTTTTTTATTTCGAGCTCTGTTTCAATTAATATCATCATATGTAATAGATTTATTAAATCAATAAGTACAAAAATAAAAAACAGCGTGAGAAAAATGTCCCCATTCTTCGATCTTGTGGGTATTTAAGAATTAAACTTTAAATAAAGCACATTTGACTTAAAATTATAATACAATGATGGGAAAATCCATTAAAACCAGAGCTAAGGAAGAGGTAGTTGAAAAGTTCTACTTTAACTCTGATTCTGAACTTTTCTATAAGCTCCGACTCTGACTTATACTTGTTTAATTTTTTCGCAATTGAGGAAATAAATAGTATTTGCACAATTGAAGAAATAAATAATCTATTCACAATTGAAGAAATAAATTAAAAAAGATTTATATAAAATTTTGAAATTGTGCAAAAATATTATAAAAAAATAGCTAGATGTCAATAGCTAACACACACTCTTACATAAATTAGAACAAGATTATTTAGGAAATATTTATGAATTGAGAAACTAGTACACATAATATTCAGTTGCACATCTTTAGTAAACAAATTTGGCTTCGGAATTTATGAATCAAAAGATAACTTATTAAAAATTTATTTATTAATACATTGAATTTAATTAAATCAATAATTCAATTATAGACTGAAAAACGTTTATTTGTAATAAATTAATTTTGCGATAAATTGTAATTTAAGTATTTGTTATAATATTCATTAGAGAGATATTTTTGTTCACATCGTTGCTAATGTTTATCTAAATAATATTCATGAGACAAAAAATCTTCTTTAATCTGAGGACTTCCTCATTTTCTACTAACCGGAGCTGGAGTCGAGTTAATTTTTTCGACTCCAAATCTGACTCTACAGCCCTGCTTAAAACAAAGTTAAAATAAGCTTTTTCTCTCCCTTTTGCTGTCATCGCAAGATGTCCAAATCAAAGGTTTTTCATTGCGAGTGAGACTAGGATATTTAAATTAAAAGTGCCGCCGCCAACATGTTACTAAATTAAGGAGCGATGTTTAACGCAAAATAAACAATGCTGATTAAGTGCCGAGAAAAGGTTCGTTGGCCAATTTAAGGTTAAGAAGAGGGCTTTTTTATTCCACTTACAAAGTAGAACAATGATAGGGGAGTTTATTTCCAGTGCGCAGTGACGTCACTTAGAGAGAGGTAGGTAAAGTGCCACAACTTGTATCGCAATCTACCAAAGATGACGTCTTCCACCACGTAAGTTTGCATCCTTTCTATTAATGATCTGAAGCGCCAAAATTGATCACTCTCACTCACACCTCTCGCCCTTTCTGATTCATAAATTAAACCAATTTCATTCATTCACATTTTTCGGTTGAATTCTAGTGCCTTTAAAATAATCTGTATTTATTACAAAATATAACAAAAAGTTGTTTAATTTCATTTAATACTATTAACTCGCGCGTTCCTCAAATATTACTTTTTAGAATATTTTGAAATCCCGCTCCTTTCTTGTCAACAAAAATAATCAAATCACAACCCCTTCCCCAAGATTGATTTTCCCCTTGATTTTTACTGTAATAGTTTAAGAATTTTAGGATTAAACTTAAATAAAAGATAAAACTTTGCATAAAACAAAATTAACATTTTAATTAAGTTAAAATTAATGAAACTTCTCGAAGTAAATATTTTGTAGTTTTCTCTTCTTGCATATTTGACTTTCATTTAAACTTTAAAAACTTTTCCAAGTATAATATTTTAAAATTTTTTTGGTATTTTTTTGGTTTTTTTTTTTTTTTTTGCATTTAAAAATTCAAACAAGGAGATTTTAGGGACTTAAGGAAGAATTGATTATGTCCCTCTCACCCCTTATCAACAAAAATAAACAGATCATAACTTTCCTTCTCATTTAAGGAGATTACGCAATCTTTGAACGCTCTCTTAAAACAAAATTATAAATATATTTCGTGGTACATTTTTATATACATTTTTATGCATGTTTATGAATTTTTACAATTTTTACAAAGTGAAACTCTTAAGGGAAATATTCTGGTATAGAGTTCCGATTAAACCTTCATTTTTAACACTTTTTTTTCAGTGAAATGAGAGGATAAGTTAGATAATGATTTCCTGGTTTTATCTCGTCAGTTACATTTTAAATTTTTTTAGCTCGAAATAATTATATCTTAATATATAAAAATGATGGATCAGTGCCCGCCGAGCACTTATAGACGGGAGCAGCTCAATCTTCATACTATATAATCTGAAGCAGACGATTATGCATGAGTGTAGTTGTGGTTAGAACCAAAAAGAAAAAATCTGAATTATGTCAATTTGCACAAAATGGCGTTCATTTGAAAAGAAAAAAAAAAGAAAAACAGAAATCGCCTTTTTTTGGTATCTAAACTTACATAAGAAAATTAAATCTAGAAAAGGTTTTATTTTTATTGGGAGTCATGGTGGCTGAGGGTATAAAGCATTCACCTCCCAATAAGGTGAGCCGAGTTCGAATCCCAGCTATGACTGGTCGATACGAATACCGCACCTGGCTCAACAGACCACAGTGCTGACGTAAAATATCCTCAGTGGTAGATGGATCATGGGTTAAAGTCCCTTGCGGTTAGACTAACTCTGGGAGGTTTCCGTTGTTTTCCCCTCCATGTAACGCAAATGCGGGTTAGTTCCATCAAAAAAGTCTTCCACGAAGGCAAGATTCCTCCCAATATTTGATCTAGGAGTTCCTTTTTCTTCTGGATTGGATTCAAAATTACAAAGCTGCGGAGTTGAACATTGGTAGTAGTAAACTCAAAATTGTGTCGGCAGTTCAACGACGGTTATAAAAAAAATTTTTGTTGTTGATCCCAACAATATTCTTATCAATTTTCTACACATTTCCAAAGCAACATCGAAATCAATTATTTTTTTGTTAGCCAAACAACCCCCCCCCCCTCGTTATTAAAAAGACATGATTTTTGGGAAATTGCATTTAAAATTTTTATAATGTTCCTCTTGGTTTTTTGGGACTCACATCAATTGTCCATACCTGGACCACATTGCACGCCTTTCCCGAACTCATACAGTTCATTGGTGTGCACTCACTGTTTCCTCCCTCACCGCAGATTCTTTGCTGCAGTGTTCCAAACGGTCAAGGAGATCTGTGTTGTGCCTTTTGCAAATTCGAACATCGTGTTGCCAATTCGAATATCCACGACACCCATCATTCTGGTATTCCCCATGATCACCCTAACCAAATAATTTTATTTTATTTTATAACCGTCGTTGAACAGCTGACCCAAAACTTTGCGTTACATGGAGAGAAAAAAACACGAAAAACCTTCCACGGTTAGCCTGACAACAAGGGTAATCTAACCCATGATCCGTTTGCCACTGAGGATATTTCGCGTTAGCACTATGGTTGGTGAGAGTCGGGTGTGCGTTTTTCAACTATGTCTGGAAGTTTCTGGGCAAAACGTTTTCGCCCACTTATACCTCATAATATAAGTTATTAAAATATGCAATTAAAAAAAAGAAAGAAAAAAAAAACCTTCTTGTAATAACGTCAATGGGTTGGGATAGCGGACATTTGTAGAGAAAAAGAACTTCCACGCTAATCGTCCTTGAAAGTTTGAACCATATTCAGAAGACAAGGAAATGCATTGAACCAATTTTTCAGTTATTCAAACAACAGAGAAAGAAACATAGTTAGGAAACTACCACTGAAGATATATTTGTTAGTTTTGTAATTAAAGGAACCAATCAACATTAAAGAAAGAACGAATAACTTTAAATAATTATTTTTCAATCTCGTTTGTAATCTTCAGATGAATATACAAAAGTGTGCTCACCCCCTTACCATATATTTTTAGAAACCTCGTTAAAAATAAAGTAAAAAAAAGCCTATTCACATTCGTAAATTAATATTTAAGAGAAAAAAAAAACTTAATCGAAATTTGACAAATCATAAACGAGGAAGGTGAGACCGTTAAAATCTGTTTGATTGTGGAAATATATAGAGAGGAATTGATGAGCAATTATTAGAAAAATGATCAAATTTAATCTGGCAATCAAATCGGTTTTGACATTTTGTCTTTCGATAATATTTTTATTTCTTGTTTAAACATTAACTTTCCTAATGTGTATATCATCTTTAAACTAGAATGTGCCCTGTTTATTGCTTGAGAAACTTTTGATCTAAAATGATGGAATTTTTCTTAATTATTAGGAAGTGAGGCAAATTCTGACATTTTAAAGAACTTAAATTTATATGGCAAAATAACTGTCGAATAGTAGTTACGACGTTTTAACAAATTTATTACAACCGTCAACAAAAGATATTCAGTGAAAATGCGTGTTTTTTGTTTAATTTCGTAATTTAAAATTTTGACTGCACTTATTAATTAGCACATTTGAAGTTAAGCCCTCGTACCATTAATAATGAGTACGTGAAAATCCGATCATTAGATCAAAAGTTATTTTGGGTGCTCCGTTTTTTATTTTGCATTCATTGGATCAGTGTCAATATTTGCGACTCTTAGTGGAGAATGCATGTGCATGCAATGCTTAGTGTTTGTAATTGATATCTATCAATTACAGGTACTATCTGTTGTGCTGGTGACTGGTTTTGAGTTGAAAACAAAAAGTACCTTAAAATGAAATTTCAAGAACATGATTTATATTCAATTCCCCAATTTTCATCAAATTTTAATCCTTCCTAAAAGGAGACCGTGGGATAAAATATAGATTTTTAATTTAGGCTTTTGACACATAATTGGCACTTATGCTGGTAAGAAATTATGCAATATTGGTAATGCCAGTAAAAACGCTAGAAATCAATTTTTATAAATATTAATTTATTATCTCAAGTTGAAAAAAAAAGTTACATTTTTCCGATTATAAAACTGCCAAAATACATTGTATTTAGAAAAGTGATATAGTTTGATAATTTTTGTAAATTTTCCTAGTAATATTACTTCTCCAATTTTTAGTTTGTTCGTGAACCTACGAATATACATTTATACATTTGTTTTTGATGTTCGAAAAATTTCCATCAATCAAATAGAAAAAAATAACTGCTTAACACCATAATTCCTGCTAAAGTTTTCGCCCCTTGAAATAATGTTTTAATCTTTGCGAAACTATCATCGAAAACCACGCTGAATAATTCATTTCACAAATAAATGAGAGCTTGTTGGAAAAGTTTTATGGAGGCCATTTTATTTGTAGCACTAAGATCACCTTCATTTTTACGACCTTTCCCGGGTACTAAAAATAAACCCATCTGATCAAAATATGATTTTTTTTCATCATTAAGTTTTAATATGACTGAATAAGATGAGAAATTATTTGTTGTTAAGTAAAGAACGCATTGATTACCTTTAAAGAAAGTTCAATTTACCTAATGTTTTTTTTTAACTATTTTATTATCATTATTATTATTAGTTGGGTTTTATTCCATGATAAATTTTTTTATGTTTTTCTCCCCTTTATAACAGTTTACTCTTCTTCAAAGAACTAGGAAACTAGGTTATAATGGTGACATTCAATATAACCAGCGGAAACTTATTAGAAATTGTTTATAGAGGTGAGCTCGTATGAAAATATTACAAAATCCAAGGGAGAGAAATATTTAAATACTGATATTTTGACAAATGAAGTATTGTTTTCGATGCAATCTTTTGCGCTGAATCAAATGATCCATCCAAAATTAGTTAGGGCTAGTAGTTTAGAAGTTTTAAGTTTTTTATGTACAAAAAGTATAAATCGCGTATCTATTGATGAACCTGTTTATTTACTATTTACACACTATTCTATATTATGTTACTATACAATATTTTGTAATATTTGCTAATTGGTACACATGACATGTTTAAACTAGTAAAGGAGAGTTTTTTAATGTTTTTTTTTTTTTGCGCTAAATCGAATGAGAACAAACACGACTGAATGCGACCAACATGCGAAACTTTTTGTACATAAAATGCACTGTTTTTGACATGTACTAATTCAAAAGAAAAGTAAAGCATTCTTGCAACAACCCATTGGGGGCCGAGGTTGTCATGTAAGCTAAGACTCCACATTTTCGAGACCAAAAGTATGAAGGTGGCAATCTGGTTAGCGTTCCGCACCGACCACCATCACTTCCCACTGCTACCCATTGATCTGAAGGTGGGTGGGCTTCAAGTCGCCACCGGAGATCATGAACTTATTTACGCACCTGATATTGCTTTCTAGACAAGTGATGTATAGTTTCATATTTTTTC